CCCCCCACCGCGCCTGCGTGGCACAAGCCCCGCCCCCTCCCTCACTCTGCGACCAACCAACAGCGCTTCCCCGGGGTGGGCGGGGCGGCGTCACGCGCCTACGGCCAGCGGGGAGGTTCAAGGCCGCCGGGCGCGGGAGGGCGGGAAAACGTGGGATCACGTGATCCCACTGCACCACGCCCCTTCCCATTGCCGCGCAGCCGCGGTTCCGCCCCCTCGCCGTTGCCATGGCAACTCGCGGGCTCGGGCTGAGGCGCCATTTCGCTCTGAGAGGATCTGGGGATGGCAGGTCTGGTTGGAATGGGTTCGGCTTCACAGCCCTTAATGTGGCTTCAGAAGAGCAAGGACTGAACGCTTAACCCTGGAATTGAAGCATGAGGCGAATCAGAAGTTGTGCTGCTCGTGGCGCTTGTTGTGTGCACAGGTGGAGTGTAATTCTGTAAGTCATGCAGTGTCTCCAGCACATAAGTCACAAATAGGAGCAGCCAGAGCTGGGCACACAGTTTGTCCATACTAGGGTCTTAGTGTGAGGCTCTCCTGATGCTGGAATGAATGTTTGGCCTTTTCCATGCCACTCACAATTTTAGATACTGTTAGAGCAGAGAAAAATGCACTTCAGGGATTTCATAACAGATTTAAGAATATAATTGCTTTTCTCAGAATGAAAGTACAGATGCAGCTTTCACATTTCAGACACAACTTCTAGTGAATTATACTAATGATTTAAACACCAAATGTATAAATGAAAACTGCAGTTTTTCACCAAGGGTTTCAGCAAACACCATAGAAATGTGGGACTGCTGAGCAGCTATTGAAGCCTCACACAAAATCACAGAATATCCTGAGGTGGAAGGGACCCACAGGGATCTTTGAGCCCAACTCCTGGCCCTGCACAGGAAAACCCCATAAATCCCACTCTGTGACTGAAAGCATTGATCAAATGCTCTTTCTCTGTCAGCCTTGGGGTCATGAATGTTCCCTCAGTAGCCTGTTCAGTGCCTGACCATCCTCTGGGGGACAAACCTTTTCCTGATATCCCACCTAATCATGCAATCACGGTCTGGTTTGGGTTGGAATGCACCCCAAAGTGCTGCGGGTTGGAACACCTGTCCCTAAACCAGGATGCTCCAAATCCCACCTAACATGGCCTTGAACACTTGCAGGGGATGGGGCAACCACAGCTTTTCAGGGCAGTCTGTGCCAGGTCCTCACAGCCCTCACAGCCGACAATTCCTTGCCAATAGCCCCCATTCCAGGGCAAGGAGGAAGCAAAAATCAGCTGTGTGCTGCCAGGGAGGTGGCTTTGGGTCACCTCACTGCCACTGCAGCTGTGACTGGCAGCTGCCAGGGACAAAGCTGAGGCACAATGAGCTCTCCAGCCTCTGGCACGGTGGCAAAGCTGAATCCTGCCCCGAGTGCCATCACTGTGGCTCTAAGAGGTCTCTGCAAGCACACAACAGCAACAGCCCTCCTGATGCTTTACAGACTTGAAAGGGCACCTGGAGCCTGAGCGCACTGCCAGGAGCCAGCGCCTCTGCCAAGGGCTCAGGAGTGACAAGGGCAAATTTCCTCCAGAAGCATACAGGCTCTGCCTAGGGACAGGGCTCTGGGAGCAGGGCATCAGGGAAAGCAGGGCTGGGGGGACAGGGGACAGGAATCACAGCCCGGCTGCCCTGGGACAGGCCTGACAGGCAGACAGGACACGGGGCAGGCAGGAATCCCTGCCCTCTCTGCGCTCGCCTGAACACAGGGAGGAAGGCACAGGGGGAATGGGGACACAGTAGGCCCCCCTCCTCTGGGTTTCACTGAGCTCTTGGAAGGGTTAGGATGCAGAAAAAGTAGTCTGGAATTGGAGAATGCAGAGGACGTAGGCACAATAATCCTTCTTTTGCTTTATAAAGCCTTATCCAGTCCCCACAGGTGGTGGAGGGTAGTTTGTATGGATATTACATTTCAGTGCATGGAGCAGCATTTTGATTACCTGGAGCAGGAGGTGACTCAGCCACTTCAGGAGCTGGTGCAAAACAGCCTGAGGCAGAGTGCCAGGGCTTGGGGGGGGACCCTGCTGTGGCCTGACTTGTGGAGATCAGCTGTGACAGGCAAGTTTAGAAATAACTATGTATTTTTATTTTATTTAGATAATTTTTTCTTGATTAATAAGGTTGTACGATATATTAACTGGTGTTTTTAGTAATAATATTTATTTTTTATACATACAAGCTAGCAGAAATGTAGGAGTAGAATTTTGTTGCATGGGAATATAAATTTATTAGGAATTACACATTTTTTATTATTAAAAAAATGTATTACATACCATTGTATTATATGAAATATATGAGATTTTTATGTGAAATATAATATGCTAGAATTTTACAATATTAAGTAAGAGTATATTTTTATCTGTTTTTTATAAATTGTATATGGCATATTTAATGTAATTGATGTCATAGGATGTAGAATAGCTATACATGTTGGAATTGATAGAAACTATCGATATTATTATAGCATACGGATACAAACGATACTTTTATTTCTATTATGTATTTTAATAAAGTTGTCTTCGACATAATATTTCATCTGTGACGTTTCATGTGTTTGTTTCAACCTTGGAACCCTGGGGCCGCCATGGTCCCGCCCCGTCCCTGGCAGCCTGAGGGCAGCGGTGTTCCCATGGCTCCATCCCGTCCCTGGCAGCCTGAGGGCAGCGGTGTTTCCATGGTCCCGCCCCGTCGCTGGCAGCCTGAAGGCAGCGGCTTCAGTCGGTGTTTCATGGCTCCATCCCGTCCCTGGCAGCCTGAGGGCAGCGGTGTTCCCATGGTCCCGCCCCGTCCCTGACAGCCTGAGGGCAGCGGCTTCAGTCGGTGTTCCCATGGCTCCACCCCGTCCCTGGCAGGCTGAACGCGGCGGCTTCACTCGGTATTTCCATGGCTCCACCCCGTCCCTGGCAGCCTGAGGACAGCGGCTTCACTCGGTATTTCCATGGCTCCACCCCGTCCCTGGCAGCCTGAGGGCAGCGGCTTCACTCGGTGTTTCCATGGCTCCACCCCGTCCCTGGCAGCCTGAAGGCAGCGGCTTCAGTCGCGGGCTGAGGGCGGCGCGGCCGCCCCGATGGCTGCCGTGTTCCTGGTTACGCTGTACGAGTATTCGCCGCTGTTTTACATCGCCCTGGTGTCCGTCTGCTTCCTCGTCACCAGCGCGCTCGTCCTCGGCTGGTCAGTGCTCTGGGGCCGGTGGGGCTCGGCCCGGGGGGCCTGGGCTGTGCTGAGGTGGGGCAAGGCCAGGCCCACGGCAGGGGCTTGGAACGGTCCATTCCAACACAAACACTCCTAGGCTTCTAAACGAGCAATAAAAATATTTTTTTTAAAAAAATATACGTATTTTTGTTAAGCTCGTTCCTCTCTTAGTAATACCGAAGTGATTTCTTAATGTTTTTTTTGTAATATCGTTCATAATATTGGCAAGCAATGCGTTTGTATCTGCTGAGCTGTGTTTGTGTGTCCAGGGAAGGGAGCAGAGCTGGGGAAGGGTCTGGAGCCCCAGGAGAGGCTGAGGGAGCTGGGAAAGGGGCTCAGTCTGGAGAAAAGGACGCTCAGGGGGACCTTCTGGCTCTGCACAAGTTCCTGGGTGCATCCAGGGTCTTTTCCAACCTAAATGTTTCTGTACATCTGTGAACTGATCTCAAGTGCCTCGAGGGGTGGTGAGTGAAAGAGCTTCTGCTTGTGTTTAAGAGGATGCCGAAAAAATGCCACTGTTCCCTTTTTCAGAAACGGCTCCTTGAATGTCCCTGACTCTCAGGAGTGGCTGTAAATGTAAATTTTGGTTTATAATACAGAGCACTGATTGGCAGTTAAAATCTTTCATGCAGGAATTGTGGCTACATACACACACCAGACTCACGTGGCTTGCGGTGAAAATAAAACCGTCGTTGAACTTCCTCTCATTGGTTCCACATTAATATCTGCAAAGTGCTTGTGATAAAGGGATCTTAAAAAAAAAAAATTATGATACTGAACCATGATTTAGATGAATCTTCATAATGTCTATCCCTAAACACTCATCCTTTTGCCAATTTAATCATTATTCTTCAACTTGTAGTAAATGCTGGCAATCCCCTGCTCAGAAAGGTCTGAAGCAGATGTGTGCTACAAGATCCTTGCATGGCACCTGTCCACTGGTGTCTTGGGTACTGGTGTTCAGAGGACTGCCCAAAGGCATCAGGATCAGAGATTCTAGTTGCACGTGCACTAGGTGTTATTGCAGTTTATGGAAATATATGCTTTTTTTCCTTCAGAATGGAGTATTAAGGGCCTGTTAATCAAAGAGGAGCCATAGCCAGAAGCTCAGCACATACAAGGAGGTGAATGTGTAGGCCACTGCTCAGAGGTATTTGCTGCTTCCTTGGAATTCTGTGTCATGGCCATGACCAGGAGCCTCCAAGGGATTTCCCAGTGCCTGCAGCTGCAGTTACAGCTCAAGTTCTCCTGAACTTGCTCAGGAAAACAACTCAAATCCTTCATTTGCCACCCAGAGCACTGTAAATGCAAATGGTGTCACCAGAGCACAGAATACCTGATCTATTGCTGCAGTGGCATTTGAGCTCCCTAATAATTTTCAGCATAAATTTGTTTAATGATGTGTTTGTGGTGGTGTCAGTCAGCCTGAAAAATTCCAACTGTTCAGGAATGTTCATGTTCTCATTTGTCAAGCCTTGCAAAAGTGATGGGAGGAGCATCTGTTCCTCTGGCCAACCCTGGATACCTGTGGCTCTGCTCACAGTCCAAGTAGGTTAATGCATGGGCAGCTTCCAGAGCCAGTCCCACAGGTGCCCTGTGCACAGGGCTGAAGTGGAATTTAGATCACCTGATTACCTGGGCATTGTATTTTTAGCTGGAGGGGAATGCTCCTGTTAGGAGGAGCTGGAGGTTCAGCACCTGTTGGAGGTCTGGCTCTGCAGAAACATTAATTCATTAACTAAACCCTTGGAAATTCCTGCTTTTTATCAGCTAGCATTACTCTGAAGAAATTAACATTCTCCTCTACCAGCTAATGATCTGGACTGTTAGATCATAAAATAAAAACTATATCTTTATTCATCCTTCCTACACTTACAGAAATTTACAGAAAACCACACCTTACTGTGGAATAGAAAGACCTCCATGCCTTCACCTGCTGCTAAAACCTTACCAGAGGCTCTTTTATCTTTCAGCTTCTCGTGAGGATAATCCCATTGCTTTCAACTAGCAAAGAAAGTTTCCAAGGAACAGGAATTTTCCTTCACAATCAGGCAGATTCTGGTATAAAACAGGAAGCACCTTTATGCACAGCTTCAGAGATTGGCTCCGTGTAGGTTTGGATATTGAAGGAGGGAAACAGCTTCTGCCTCTGGTTTTTTTTTGTGAGATGTTTAACTGGGATATTCCTGTACAGCCCCAGGGAAGTCACTGTGGGTGTTTTCCCTTGTAGAAGAGAGAGCTGACCCTCTGTGTGCTCAAATCAAGGATGGCCAAGAGCCTTCGGTGATGCCACTGATGAAATGCAAATGTTTCCGTGAAAGGAATGGTTTTCATGAAAAACATACAGAAAGCAGCTTGAGGTTGGAGATTAGGAAGGAATTCTTGGCTGTGATGGAGATGAGGCCATGGCACGGAATTCCCAGAGAAGCTGTGGCTGCCCCCTCCCTGGAATTGTTCAAGGCTGCGTTGGATGGGACTTGGAGCAACCTGCTCTAGTGCGAAGTGTCCCTGCTCACGGGTGGAGGCTGGAATAGTGCTCAGTTCTGCAGGACTCAAGACGGGAGGAAATTCTGGCCTAACTCTGTACCACTAGAGGGCACTGACAGCTCTCATCAATTTTATTCTCTTTGTGAAAACCCAGAGCAAAATACTCCCCCTTTAAAGATTCCCTGCATCACTGTGCAGACTCCTGTCTTCTGACAAAAAGCTGAAGTCGAAATGTCAGGATATATCGTCCATGCATCCCAGCAGATATTCAGGAAAGCCAAGCTACCGCTGTTTGTCCTGCTGCTTGCTATTTAGAGCTGACAAAAAAAAATCAAATATGTCAACACTAACACTGAACCCACTTGTTCTTCTTGTTTTGTGTCTCCTAGGTTTGGTTTGGGTGTTCCTGTTATTCTGAGGAACTCAGAAGAGACAGAATCCAGCACAAGGGTGTTGAAAAAGCGGATGAGACAAGTGAAGAATCCTTTTGGGTTAGAGATCCCTAATCCTGCTGCAGCTTCAGTAACAAGTCAGTAGAATTCTTATGTGATTTTTGTCAATTTGCATTCCTGAACTTGGTACTTTCCATTTTCTGCTTAGAATCATAGGATGGTTTGGGTTGGAAGGGACCTTAAAGATCATTGTTCTTGCTCTCATCCTTTTTCTCTATCATAATTCCTCAGAAATATGCTTCCATTCCAACAGAAATAAGTTTTTACACAGTTTATAAACGTAGTGTTTCTAAAAAGTGAAATGTTTGGATCAGGAGGTACAGTTTAATTCTTATTAATGGAACACTTCCTGCTATTACAGATCTTTAAGTAACTAAAACATTTGCAAATTACCAACCACTGTGGGCGTTTCTATAAATTTCATGGAATTGTAGAATTGTACAGAATTCATTATGGAATATGTGCCACCCACTTAAATCTAAGCCCAGATCTTCAGCAGTGTTTGGAAGTGCAATGTTTTTAATATATAGATAAATAAATCATCACCCTCTTTCTCTATCTGTTCTCCAATGGAAACTGAATTTAAATATCTGTTTGTATCAGAGTTCAAGCCATCCCTATCATTCCTGAAATCACCCACACAGGAAGTGGAATTCATGGCTTTCTGCATCACTGGGGGGCAGAGAGCAAGGCTGAGCATCTTCCACCCACATGGATGTGGGGCCTTCCAATGCATGAGGAAGGGCTGCAGCAGATTTTCCCCCTCCCTCAACATAAAACCCCCCCAACACAACAAATCCAACAGTTCAGGTAACTGGGATTTTTCAGGAGCTTTGAGCACTCCTGCTCCTGTTTGTGCAGGAAGTGTTTAGAAGATGACAGGTTTTTGGAAAAAGAGTGGAGAGCACAGATACTCTTTTTTTCCTCTGCATGATCAAGAGCCTTATTCTTTGAGACCACAGAGAATTTTGTAGATGAGTGATCTAATTAATACAATAATCTCAGGAGGGAAAGGACTTTGGGCTAAGGCTTGGGCTCCTGTACCTGCCAGTGAGTGTGTAAAGTATTACCAGAAGTTAAAATTTACCCTTCATAAAATGCATGTGGTATTTTCATGAGCTTAATCAACCATTTTATGTCCTCACACTCACTTCCTCATCCCCACTGACTTCCATGAACACTAAGCTGAATCTAAATTGTTAGAAGATTTGTTTATAATGATAAATAATTTTTGTTACTTTATAATGTTTAGCATTTTAGGGGTGGCCTAATTGCAGCCTTCCAGTACCTGAAGGGAGCCTAGAAGAAGAGACTTTTACCAGGGCCTGGAGGGACAAGACAAGGAGGAATGGCTTCCCACTGCCAGAGGGCAGGGATAGATGGGATATTGGGAAGAAATCCTTCCCTGTGAGGTACAGGTTGCCCAGAGCAGCTGTGGCTGCCCCTGGATCCCTGGAAGTGTCCAAGGTCAGGTTGGACAGGGCTTGGAGCACTCTGGGATAGTGGGAGGTGTCCCTGCCCATGGCAGGGGGTGGAACTGGATGGGCTTTCAGGTCCCTTCCAACCCAAACCATTCTATGATTCTATGATAAAAACACTGAAGTTGTTTTCTGCTTGTAGCTCTTCAAGCATCTAGGCTTAGCAATTCCAGGATTCCTGCACGTGGTGAGTTAATGAAATCCCTCTCCTCTTTCTCCAAGGGGGTGTAACCCTGACACCTGACTGCCTGGAGGACTGTGTCCTCACCTGCTACTGGGGCTGCAACGTCCAGAAACTCCACGAAGCGCTGCAGAAACACGTCTACTGCTTCAGAATAAAGACTCCTCAGGCATTAGAGGATGCTCTCTACAACGAATACCTCTACAAACAACAGCACTTGTATCCTTTTTTTGAGTTGTTTTGACAAAATCTGTTGGGTTTTTTTGGCACAGGGAGCGTTGAGGCTGGTGAACGTGCCGCAGATTTTGGCACAACTCGTTTATGAACAAACACGATGAGAAATATTCTTTATGCAAACATCACATCTCTCTGCAACTGCAGCCACTGATTGTTTTCCTTGACACAGACAAAGCATTAAAAAAAATGACAAGGCAGAGAAATATTGTCAGTTACCAGAAGATGCTCAAGTTGTGGATTTTGGCCCGGTGCCTAGAGCTCACTATCCCTTGGTAGCACTGCTGACATTAGCAGATGAAGAAGACAGAGAAATATATGATATTGTAAGTAATATCAGAATATATTTCAGGGTCATTGTGTTTAAGGTCTGAATGTTTCAGGAGAGAGGCTTGAATAAAGCAGCTTCACTTTCCTGTTCCCTAGAATTTGGTCCCTCACTTTCTTATTTTCTAAAATAGAGCAGTTCAAAGCTTTGACTTCCAAACCTTACAGAGAGACTTTGCTTACTCTTTACTTATTCACTACAGCATTGAAAAGATGTTTGTGATTTCCCCAAAGCTTCTGCCTGCCAAGGTCCCTGTGGTCAGAGGAATAAGGCTTGGGGCAGTTTGCTGTTACCTGTTACTCTGATTTCTAGGATCACACGGGCCTGTGGTGGAGCTCTTGCGCTTACACAGACTCTTGGATTCTGTTGGCAAGGCAGGAGGATTTTTTTTATGAGTGTCTGGCAGAGATATGGAGCTGATTGCTGACTTGGCTGTTAGAAACCTAGAAATTACCTTTCTGCCCCAAGTCTGTGTCATGGTTGTGTCTCACAGGAGCCAACTCCAGGACACTTACAGGAAAGGATAAAGGTCTGGCTTGAGGCTGATAGGAGATACTCAGCTCCCCAAAAAAGATCTCCTCCTAATCTTTTGCTATTAAAGCAGCTTCAGCCTTGCCACATGCTGTTCAATACCCTTTATAAGCTCTAAATCGATGATCTCTGAATGATTTGAGACACATTTTTATCTCTCATCTTCTCGTTGGATTGATAATCTGCTTGCACCAACTCCTTGAATGGTAGCACAACTGAACTTGGAAACAAATTGCCTAAACCCACTGAACCCTTTTCCCTGCATTCACCTATAAGCTGTAATCACACCAGTGCCTAAAAAATCTGTCCCTTTTCCAGGTGATGGTTATTCTTGGCTTCTTGTCACCTGACTTTAGGACTGCCCTTCTCCCACCCATCCCAACTTGAGATATTTTAATGTTTTAATACATTTTTATAGGTTCAGGTGTCCGATTAGTTTAACGTAAAGAGACTCTAAATGCAATATTTGAACGTATTTGACATTAGCATGGGCATGAATTTGTAACACCTCTCTTTTGAGCCTTAACATAAAAGAGAGGCATGGAAGGAGAATGGGGGAGGTATTTTTCCTCTGATTTTGGAGGAAAGGAACACATCTAGAATCTGTAAATCCAGTCAAGGAGTAACTCCACCTGAACTTCTTGCCAGACAAATGTCAGAATTGCGCCTGGTTTGTTGAAACAAACTTGTAAAATAGAAATGAAGTGTGGAAATGGATCTTTGCCAGTGTGATAATATCATTTTGAATTATTTGGGGGGTCTGTGTGGGTGTCCATCACTGTGGATGGTGTTCCAATGTCTCTTTCCTGAGGGAGGTGAGGGGTCTGATTTTCATCCTAACTGGTTTTGTGGCAAGATCATCCCTACTTGGTTTTGTGCCATAATTTTTCTCTAGATCCAGAAAATTAGCATGACCGTATATAAAGTTACAGAAATTACTGGAAGACTGTCACAGCTAAAGTGGAAGCTTAGATCTCAGGCACTGTGATTTAGAAAAAAAGGACTCTTTTGCCAAGGAATAGTGAATTCAGTTCTTATAAATCCATATGTGTAGGTACATACACATTTGAACTCTGTATTTAATTAGCCATGTGTGGATTTTGAAGTGCAAGCCTAATTTGCCTTTAAATTTCTTTTTAAAGTAAAACAGCTTCTATATTTCATTTCTCTTTTGACAGCTTCTGGGAACTACAATAATATTGAATTTCACTTTCTTTTTCCCAGCTTTTTAGAGGCTATTACGTAATTTGGGCAGGGTGGGGGTTGATAGGCACAGCATGCAAGCTTAGAGTGCTTGTATTTCCAGAGGAATTATCTAAAGTCAGCCTGTGGGGGTTCACAATCCTTTCCAGTGAAATTTGTCTTTTGCCTGCTCAGATTACAAGCCAATCACTTCTTAGTGAATTTTGGAGTCTAAAAACAGCAGTCCGTGTGTTTGTGAGGGAAGAGGGAGAAAGTGGAGAAGATTGCTCAGGTGCCTTTCCAGTTTGGGGTGTAATTCCATGAGGTGGGAGCAGCCAGAGCAGGTCTCTGCTATAAACTGGCCACAGAAAAGCTCCATGGGGAAGCAGGGTGGGAAGCTGAAGGAGCACCAAGGGCTCTCTCATGCCACATCCTGTTTATACCTTGTCCAGTGTATTTTTTTTTATTTTTATTTTTTTTTTGATCAGTGCTTGAAGTCACCATTGTTGAATTCCTGATTGTCTAAGGAATTCAGCAGGTCAGAAGCTGTACCAAACCAAATCGGAGAATCTTGGAACAATATGTGTTGGAAGGAACCTTAAGATCATCTTATTTCACCCTTGCCATGGTCAGGGACACCTTCCACTATCCCAGGCTGCTCCAAGCCCTGTCCAACCTGGCCTGGAACACTTCCATGGATCCAGGGGCAGCCACAGCTTCTCTGGGCACCCTGTGCCAGGGCCTGCCCACCCTCACAGGGAAGAATTCTTTCCCAATCTCCCATCCATCCCTGCCCTCTGGCAGTGGGAAGCCATTCCCCCCAATCCTCCCATCCATCCCTGCCCTCTGGCAGTGGGAAGCCATTCCCTGTGTCCTGTCCCTCCATCCCTTGTCCCAAGTCCCTCTCCAGCTCTTCTGGAGCCCCTTTACACACTGGAAGGAGCTCTGAGCTCTTCCTGGAGCCTTCTCTTTTCCAGGGTGAACACCCCCAGTTCTGTCAGCATGAGTTATAAGTTATTAAATATAGAATTTTTTTTCTGTTTGTAGATTGCAATGGTGGCTGTAATTCATGTTCCTGATGAAAGCTACAGACTTTCCTGCCGAATTTTGTATCAGTATCTCCTCCTAGCTCAAGGTCAATACCATGACCTGAAGGTAAGCCACGCTTGGAGTCTGGTTTCATGTGTATGACAGTGTTAACTTTAGCTTGTGTAGGCTTTCAGAAGCCTAAATTAGTACAAGGCTTCTATTGTCATGCAAAGAATTGGATGGTAGTTAAAATTATTTTATCAGTTAAGTAGTGCCACAGGAACTTACTGTACAGAAATATTTTCCATGAAAATATTCAAGATTTTCTGGAGAAATTACCTGCTTCTAATCTAGGAGTCCTCGTGTCCACTTAGTAAAGCAGTAGGAAGAAATTCACTGTTGAATGCTTCTTCTTTCCAGAATGTTTATTTCCTTTCTTCAAAATTCCCATTTTATCAGGAAAACCTCAGAAGAAACTTACTTTTTTGAAATTCCTTTTGCTTGCACTATACTCAGGAATCATGCCCAGAAGAATTTGTGCTTCACGTAAAATAAGGCAAAAAAAGGAGTAGGGGATTGGAATATGAGCAAGAGCAGAATGGGTTGAGTGAAGCAGATTTGACAGCGTGGTGGATATAATTTTGGTAGGAACAGATAGAAGATCCCTCTAGGCACAGAGGCTGATGGACCAGAAACAAACCCGAGCTGCTCAAAACCTGAGCACTTCTGTTAAAGTTCATGCATGATGTTGATTTAATGCAGCCAAGGTCTGAGGACTTATCTTTAATATTTTCCCACTGTTTTATGTAATGTTTCATGTTTCTGAAATGCTTTTAACTGAGACCAGGCAGCTGCCAGGACCCACACAGGGTCTGGCACTGTTTGACCCAGTGAATGGACCAGTGGAAGAAGTACCACTGCACCTCTGTGTGTGCAGAGATTGGGGAAGAGTTTGTTCTCTCCTAAATACTTGTGTTTATGTGTATTTTAGCAACTCTTCATGTCTGCAAATAGCCCTGCACCCTCCTCCAGCGATACCTTCCCTGGTGAGAGCAGCACTGACAGAGGGCTGCTGGAAAAGGCCGGGCTGGCTGGAGATGAACCAGAATTGCAGGAAGAAAACAGCAAAGACTGTGTTGTTTGCCAGAATGGCCCCGTGAACTGGGTCCTCCTGCCCTGCAGACACACGTGCCTGTGCAATGGCTGCATCAAGTATTTCCAGCAGTGCCCAATGTGCAGGCAGTTCGTGCAGGAGTCTTTTCCACTTTGCAGCAAAAAGGAGCAGGATGAGGATGAATCGACCCATGTCTTGCAAGATGTTCTTCCTGGAAGAGTTTTTTAACAGCAGTTAAAAATAAAAGACCTGGGTTGTTTGCACTAAGATTAAATGTGGAAGCCAGACTATTTATGGGAGGATATGTAGAGTTAACTTGTAGGATTTTGCTTTTTTTTTTTTTGTTGGGTAATTTTCAGCTTCCTTATTTTTCCTCGCTCCATATGCTCGCAGGAGCGCTGCTTACCCGTGCAATGTGGACAGGAGAAGTGCGTAGGATAGCTCTGAAGGATGTGATTTTATTTATAACTGCTTCCTAGATTTTCTTGGAGCACTATTGGAGGCTATTTTGACTACTAAATTTAGGCTGTCTACTAAAAAAAGAATAAAACTTGCAAGTGCAGTTGCACAAGGCTCATTCTATATTTATTGTGTTTAAAATACTAGAGCCGTGTATCATTTTAACTCAGTATAATTTAGGAACTTAGCACTTTACAGAATGTACCATATGAAGGAAAGTAAATATTCTTCATCATTAACCCTGTGTATGTTTATTTTGTAGCTGAAGGTTGGACTGTGGCAGGAGCTGGGGGTTGAAGGTGTGGCTCAGGACACTGTTTCTGGCTGGTTTGAAGGATTTGTACTTCAGCCAAAGCCCTTTGGAAAGGTTTTTGTTGATTATTCTTGAACTGCGTGTTGCTGACACTGTCAAGCCCCTGCGATGACATCTTGAGACACAGATTTTCAGTCTTGCTGGCAGTGCCTGTAAGAACTTGTTCTCCATGCAAGTGTTGGTTAATCACTCTCCAGAGAGGTGGCAGTTTTGTGGTGCTTTGAGGTATTTCCAGCTCTTTGCAATTGCATGGTCAGCTTGGATGACCAGTAACAAGTTAACCAGTTACCCTTAGCAATAATCCCAGGAAGTGTACCTGCTCTAACAAAGGAAGAAGCTAAAGAACAGCAGAAAATTATTTCCTTTCACTCCAGTGGTGTGTTGTCAAAAGCAGTAAAAATGGCTTTTGAGAAAAGAAAAGTGGTTGGTTTCTTTAAAGAGAGACAAATTCTCCTAAAGACAAACGGGCTGAGTGTCACATCTGCTCATATAAGGGAAAATGCTCCTTAGAACCTGTAGAAATGGAGAGTAGCTACTTTCTGTCCTCCCTTTTGTTCCCTTGCAGCTTTTCCCCACATCCAATTCCAGGACAGATGCTCAGGCTTAGGCAGGGAAAACCATGCTCTGTGGTCCTCAGCTCTGCTCTCCTGCCAGCTCCAGGGTACACACAAGGTGCTGCACACCTCCAAACCAGGGAAGCTTCCCCTACTCAAAGGTATTCCATCTTCACCTTTCATCCTTCTTTTCTTTTATTGTTTGCTGTGACCCTGCTTTCAAACTCCAGACAATAACCTCTGAGGAAAAGATTTAGGTGGTGCTGTGTGGAAGGTTAATGGTTAGTTGTAAGGACAGACAGAAGTGGGCAATTGTTCCCTGTAGCCACAGATTTCCAGCCAGTGATCAGCAGGCTGGTTGTAAGGTAATTTATCTGCTCTGCCTAAGTGACCATCCTGGCCAGGGACAACTTGGGAATAAACTGCTGGACAAACCAGGCTGCTGTTTGGAACGACACCCCGAGGTGTCTGTAGGGATGCAGCAGTGCCTGATCAATGGCAGCAGCTGCTTCCAAACCAACAGCTCACACAGCATGTGGGACAGTGGATTGTTATTCCAGAGGAGCAGGTTAATGCTGTGCTGGTTCCAGCCTGGAGCTGGGCACTGATAATTAGCAGGGTCTTGTTTGCCCACAGAGATCATGAAGGAGGTGTTGTTTACTGTTCGACCACAGTAGTCACCGATATTTAATCAATTAATTAAAATATCCCATCAAACAACATGGGATCCAAACCTGTGGGCTTATTTAATCTCACAGTGAAATGGTATTCAAGTAACCCCACAGAGAGTTGCCTGGTCTGCCTCATCCTTCAATCGATGCCACTATTAAATAATAATGGCAAGCAGGATGTAGCTGTGCTGAACTGCCAGGCCATGTATTTACCATTAAGTCTGTCACAGCTTTTCATTTGTTACTTGCTCTTTTAATAGCATTTTCCAGAGATGCTTAGTTGCTTTCTCTGCTCTAACAAGCTTCCTTGCTGGCCCAAATGAAAGACCTGATGAGAGTTATAAAAAGTACAGTAGCTGCCTCATTACATTTGTCCTTCTTCTAAGAAGCCATGCCAAAATACAGATCAGGTGAGAAGGAAAAGAAGCAGTTCTAAAGCTGCCCAGTGTATCCCTTGGTTGTCTTAAAGCAGGGATTCAAGGCTCTAAGAGAGAAATAAAACCTTCCTGTGATCCACAAAAACACAGTGTATTGACAGAGGCTGTTCTGCTCTGTCACCCTTTTGTAACAGATGTGATATAACATTCCTTTTCTGCTCATAATAGATGATCTTTATGCATTTGATGACATCAAGTAAGATGGGAAGATTTCTGGCAACAGGATTTGGTTCTTTTAAGCAGCACTGGGGTGTTTCAGATTTCTAATGTTTTTTTGCTGCAGGAGAGGTTGGTTTGATTTGATTCATCAACCCTAATCAGAGCTGAGGCTTCCAAAGGGGTTGATCAAACAAAGTGGTGCAATTTGGGGATGTCCCAAGGTGTCTTTCCAAGTGCCAATGGACTGTGACATGGGCATCTTCCTTCTGTAGGGAAATTTGCTGGGTTAGGATTTTCCTTTCTTCTTATCTGCCTCCTAAGTAGAGGGGAAAATGGTCATAGGGAAAATCCAGGTCAGCTCAGGTGGCTGCTGTACAATTCCCTGACAGGAGGGTGCAGCCAGGTGAGGGTTGGTTCTTCTCCCAAGAAACAAGGACTAGGACAAGAGGAAAAAGCCTCAAGTTGCAGCAGGAGAGGTTTAGATTTGATATCAGGAAAAATGTCTTCACTGAAATTGTGGTGAGGCTGTCCACAGGCTGCCCAGGTACATGTTCAGCTTTAAGATGAGCTTCTGTGTGAATCTGATTTAAATGCCTCATTTACATGCTAACATCAAACTTCAAGTGTGGTTAAAGCAGACAGGAATTGAGTGAGTTTCTCCTTCTGATTTGCACATTGCTGGGGCTTCCCATGCCCTGAGGAAGCTCTGCCAGATCTGCAGGTGACATCTGTCAGGTGAGGGAGGTCTGGGGCTGACATCTGTCACTGGAGGTCTCTGCAGCCACCAGTCACCACTTGCTCAGCTGTCCTCACATCCAGAGTAAACAAGGACTGGCCTCTGTCACTGCAGCAGACGTGCAGCCCCTGCAGAGGCTGTCCCTGGTGTCCTGTGTGTGTGTGTGTAGCTGATGTAATTAATGCCAGGGATAGCTGAATTTCATCTGCTACAGCAGAAGTCCTCTGAACTGAGCTGTTAGAAAGGCTTGGTGTTGCCTTGCTGGAATATGCTGGGTAGGAAAACAGAGAAAATCAGGATTAGGGGGTTTATTTCTGGATAACTTTGTTTTGCTACCATTTCTGATGGCACACAAGGAGTGCAGCTATGAGGCCACAACTGAGTGCTAGAGAGTCACAGGCTTTGCAGGATCTGCCAAAACAGCCCCCAAAACAACAGAGGGGGCCAGAAAGTGTCTGCTGAACACTTCAGAGTCACTTGGGCAGCTCTGCATATTCTTTCTGTGTTGCTTTTACTCACTGGTGTCCGTGGGTAGAGAGACAAGAGCTTGTAGTGCAGTATAGGACCCCTATAAAAAGGGGCTGCCACTGGTTGGATTCCATAAATTCGTGGGAATGTGCAAGACCAACATAAAGGCACCTTTGTGTGGATGCTTCTGCAGCTGAGCTAGGAGAGGTCCTGTCTTAATTACCCCATCTCATAATGGGAATGATTTAAAAGAGTACATATGCTAAAAGTAGACACAGTCTTAAGACTAAACTAATCCAGCAGCAGAGTCTGATGTCCAAAGTCAGGAGTCTTTGTGTTTCTCCCACAGAATTTTGGAAATCAATGACATTATAAATTTATGCTGAGGTTACCCAAGCCTTCATCAAGCTTGGGAAACCCAAAAAACTCCTTTGTTCCTCCTCCCTGCACATGCAGTCCTCAAGCATAGAAAGGGCAACGCTGGGATGTTTGTCACAGTTGTGACATGAGGATTTGCATTTCTGTATTACCTCTGGAAATGTTCAAGGCCAGACTGGGTGGAGCTTGGAGCAACCTGTTCATGTGGAAGGTGTCCCTGCCCATAGCAGGGGATTGGAATGAGTTGATTTTTAAGGTTTCTTCCAACCCAAACCATTCTGGGATTCTTTGATTTCCGTTCTTTAGAAAACACTTGCACTACCTGGATCCTCCTGAGATTTGAGGGAATCCCAGAACTGCTTCTGTGGGACCAGCAATAATTATCAGGACAATCAGTTGCTACCTGTGTTTTCTATCCTCAGCCTGCGGCGACCTTTTATCTGCAAAAGATTTGTACTTAAAAATCTTCTCTAGGTTTTAAATGCCTCCTCCACCTTTTTGTCTTCATCAGCTGAGGGGTTTTGGCAGCTCCTAATAATTTTTCCTCTCCCATTGCATAGCTACTTCACATCTAATATTTCCTGGCAGATTTCTCAGTAGTAGTTGTAGTCAGGGGACTGGTGAGAGGTCTAATGCATCACTTCTCTCTCTCCTCGTGCTATTTATTCCAGTGTCTATCAGCTCCTCACTAACAGTACTTTGACAAACAGGCTGGAGGGGAGGATTGCTAACTTGTGAATTATTTTGAAGTTACCCTCTTATTTTTTTCCCTGTAACTCTGCAGATGCTGTTGAGTTTGGAGGCAGAACAGAGCTCTACCAGGGTTTATCAGGCATCAGTCTCCTGCCAGCAGAACTGTGAGATGCAGATGTTGTGTCTTCCCTGCTCATGTGCAGCACAGACACCACATTTGGTTTGTTCACTGCAGTTCCTGAGGGTCCCCAGTTTTAAGGATTTTCCCCTGTAGGGAAAGACTGCAAGCTCAAAAAGCACCAGCTTGGAGGGAGCCTGGGGTGAGACATTGCTGGCAGCAAGGCTGAGGGTGATGATGGCAAGTGAGGAGCCCAGAGGGGGTCAGACATGGCATTGTCTCTGCTTGCCAGGGTGAGCAGAGCCCTGTGGGGCAGCACATTCCATTGATTAAAGTAATACCAGAGCAGTGATTTATGGCACAGCACTGCTTGAAAAACAGTGATTTTCATTCACCAGATGCTGGCATGCATGAGACAAGACTGGTGGCCCAATTGCTGCCTTTCCTTTGAAAGCCAGTCTCCTCCCAGGTGCTCAGTACCAATCCCTGGCTGGAGTGGCTGCAATATCATCCAAACCCTCCTCTACTGAGACAGCTTGAGGGACACAAGAACTTACCTTTACATTTTGCTATAGGACCAAAAAGGAGTGTTTGCCAAGAGCTGGTGGATTCCCATTAAAGAATGACTACAACTTTCCCAGTCTTTCAATCTCCAAGTGTCTTCCCAGAGACACAAAAATGTGTGAATGAGTCTGCCAGCTCCAGTTTTCCC